ATAGAAAGTCTGACTGTTTCCATGCTTCAACAATCATAAATTTTTCTCTGTCTGGCATATCATCAGCAGGTACTGGAGTATCTTCACTTGTAAATTTCTGCAGACCAAGAGTGGTAAGCCAGAAAAATACTCGTTGCTGCCATCCTTTGAAATTCACACCTGTGAATTTACCCGGTTTCTCTGCTTGTGATACAAGAGTTCGGGTTGGTGCAGCAACAGCCACTGTAACACCAGTGTTTTCCATTTCTAATAAATAAAATTGATACAATATAAGTTAAAACAATGACATAATTCAATCTTAAGGAAATTATTTAAATCTGTGTTTCTTGTGTTCGGTGTTTTTATCTTATCGATGTTTCATGTTCGATATATAGTATTTTAGTCCGCATCACGTAAAATGTTGAAATTTTTTTCATAGTTCAAAATAAGTGAACTGTTCAAAGTCAACGAAAATTATTGAAACTTTTTTCATATTCATTCTTTATTTAATGAAATTCTTACTTTTTTATGAGTTTGTCGAAGAAAAGTGAGAAGGATAATAATAGACTTTAAATTATTTTCTTTAATATTTTTCATAAGGAATATGTATAAAATAAAGGGATAATGCCCAAGTACTCCCTCAACCTATGCCCAAAATCTCAGAGACACACTTATACTATATTAAGGTCCTATTACCACCCTTAACTTATTTTATTAATAATTTTTTATCCCTTTTTTAGCTTACGTGGCACTATCTTGTGGGCCCAACGATGGTTGACTTTTTTTCCGAACTAATGTCACGTAGCTAAAAAGGAGTAGAAAATTACATATAAAATAAGTTTAGTGGGTAATAGGACCTTAGTATAGTATAAGTGTGTCTCTGAAATTTCGGGCATAGATTGAGGGGATACTTGGGTATTTTCCCTAAAATAAACAAGTGAAAGTAATACTCTTTAATCTTTACATTTTAATGTGTTTATCTTAAGAAAACACGTCTGTTGGTAAGTATACTCTTGAAATGAGTGATAGACTAGTGTCTTGTTGACTATTTTATTAATCAATTTTTCATTTTCAGGATGATTTATAATCACATAAAAAAAGATGTAATTAAAATTTGTGCCAACTCAATAAAATCTTCACATAATTTTTCTCATTTTTTTTTTTTAAAAAACAAAACAAAAACGACACCAATATGTAGATTTCACATCCAAAAGACCAAAGGACATATAAAAAAAATGATTTTTTTATGCAAATATTTGTATAAATTGAGATAAAGAGAATATAAATTATTGTTTATCATTTTTTTGTAAGTCCTACTTGAGCAGCCCCATGTAACAAATAAGATTTTATTACAACTTGGCAAGGAAATATCGTTTTCTTTTAGTTTTAGGGGTATGACGATAACAAATGATGTTTCTTTGCCTATACGCTTAATTTGCTTGAGTGACAAGTTGCTCAACTAAAATATTTTATTAGTAAACTTAAAAAATTCTTAAATCTCACCTTTATATATAATGATGAAAATGAAAATAATAACTAATAATATTTTTATTTATAATAATAAAAAACCAAAATAAATATTAACAAATCTATTCCAACCTAAATTAGGAAAAATTAAATAAATATTAAATAACAAATACTAAACAACCTAAGATACATGTTTTTTTTTTTAAAAAAAAAAACTCTCACTAGTAAAACATTATATTCAACCATTAATTTTCTCTAAAGTGGTTGATGGAAATGACATGATTGTTAAAGAATGACAAAAGTCCACATTGGTGGTTAATAAGATGGATGGACTCCTTATAAGTCTTGGGCAATCCTCTTCCCTTTGAGCTAGCTTTTGGGTTGTGAGTTAGGTCTAAGACCTAATTTCACATGGCATCAGAGCAGGGCCCCTCTCACCGGTTGGGACCCTCCAAAATCAAAATTGCCCGTAACAAAATTCATTGACAATTTAGTGGTAGGGAAGGGGCGGTGGAAATGTATTTCATTTAGTGTGTTTTGGGTTTAAACCGTCCTAAAATTTAGAGCGCCCAAACTTCTAATCTTGGCTCCATCTCTGGCTGTACAATTAAGTTTGTATGTGATGTTTAAGGTGGATTGAGTTGATTAAATTAACAAAAAATTGTTACCTAAACAATCTTGCATAAGGAAACTTAATAACAATTAAGTTTGTATGTGATGTTTAAGGTGGATTGAATCGATTAAATTAACAAAAAATTGTTACCTAAACAATCTTGCACAAGGAAACTTTATCAGTGTTCAAAATATTCTCCCTTGATCAATGTTTTCTCTCTATCATGTATTTGGAAATTTGAGTAGTTTTTTTGCCCTTAATCGCGAAGCAATCATTGTTAATCATTTAACTGAAATTGGAGATGGAGCCAAAAATTTGGTGAATCGTGTGCAAAACTAAATATACACTCATAATAGCTAATAACATCAAACCTAAATTGTACACCACACAATTTTCCAGCGAAGGGTGTTATTGCAAGTATATACACAGTGCATATATAGTTATAGATTTATGTTACATAAACTTAACACACAATAATGGACATGAAAAGGCATACATAAAATTGTAATTGAATCTTCTCAAGTATATTCAGCTTCTAGGTGTTCAGATTGTCTGCCGCCATATATAGCTCCAACCAAAAATCAACATTAGATGAATCAATACTCACATCCATGAAATCTTGTATGTACAAATCAACACTTGATGTACTAATACTCTCTGGATTACTCTCCAATATAACTATGTTTTCGTCATCAACTTGATTGACAATTGAAGTAACATCATTTTCTTGATTATATGTTTCCAAGAAATCATAATTTTCATCAAATATGATGTAGCTAGAGGAGGAGGAGGAGTTGGTGAAATCAAATGATTGAATATTTGGACAATTAGTAGTTATCAAAGGCTTCTTTTGAGTACTCATCTCTATTTGTTTAGCTTTCTTCCTTGATTTAGGTTTCACTTCAACTTTTGTCCCAACGTGCTTCTTTAAATGGGTATGGTAGAAATTCTTGATTTCGTTATCTGTTCTTCCAGGCAATTCTTTAGCTATAGCTGACCTCCTTCAACAAATTACATAACAACAAAATAGTGTCAGCAAATAATTATATGTAGTAGTTTACTTTGAGTTGTCATGAATGAGAATACACTTTTATTTACTTATAAATATATATAGACTTTGGTCATGAATTCATAGCTAATTAGCATGTATAAACTGAAAAGGTTAGATTTTATGACTTCATATAACCTAATAATAAGTTAGTAGAGAGAATACACTTTTATTTACTTAATCACATCTTCGATGATAAAAATTGAAAGGTAATTAATCGTCGCCTGTTTCCAAGTGATTGATACATTTTGATGATTGTTTGAGTTTCTTCAAGGCTAAATGTCCCTCTCTTTATATCAGGCCTCAAATAGTTGATCCATCTCAGTCTACAACTCTTTCCAGTTCTTGATAGCCCTACACCATCCATATTGCCATAACGACAAATTAATATATATATATGAGCCTAAGAAGTAGTCTCTATATCAGTGACGAAGCTATGATTTTCATTCATAGGTTCAAAATCTTAAGAATTGAACACCTAGTTAACTAGCCAAAAGGGGTTCAACATCTATAATATACATAAGAAAATAAATTTAGTCATGTATATATAATATAAGTTTCCATCGAAAGAGTTCAGATGAACCCTGACTACAAGCTAGCTCTGCCCTATACTATATGTACATTACTTGCTGAAACCCTAAAGGCAATACGAAATCAACAAAAAAAAAAGCAAGGATGAAGACTTTATGTTTCTTTTAAGATAAATTATGATCAGATGCTAGTAAAATATGTAGGGGTACCTGCAAATTTGGGCATCTGGCTCCAGTTCCAAATACGATATTTCGCGATATGATCAATCAATTTTTTGTCTTCTTGAGGAGACCAAGCACCCTTCTTAACATAACCCATGTTTTTGCCATGTTGCAGCTGGAACACTACTTCTCCCATAACTATATAGTAAATGCTTTCACCAATTAAGGGTCATACATATACTTCACAAAGTTTGAATATTGCTTATATATAGGAAAGAGGAGGGTTTCAGCCTGTGGAATATTATTAGCTCAAAAGCTTTTATTATTTCCAAGAAAGTTCATTTTCCCTCACCCTCAAGCCTCACTACTTCCTAATTTGTCCCTTTGTTATTCTATCTTACTTACTCCTTTCCTCTCTCCTTTCCAATTTTAGTGATTTACTTAAAATTTCGAGAGTCAATCTCATTCTATGCATTTTAAATATTTTAAGTTATTAATTATTGTAAATTATGTCATACGTTTCGTAGTTTTTAGATATTTTTTTTGTTTATTTTTACTTGTCACTGTTTGACTTGATACAATTTACTAAGAAAACAATTGTTTATATAGGTATTTTACCACACTGTACCTATTGAATGATCAAGCTTGGTATATGCTATATTGATAACTGTAGATGGAATAATCCCTTTAATTTGTTCATCTTTTTTGGTTAATGTTCCTTTTCAGTAATATATGATGATTGATATATACGTTAGGAGACAGAGACTTCAGATTATTTTTATTTTTTTGTTTTATGGATTTCGGATTGGAATCAAATTTAGTATCACAGTTCAATTTTTTGTGCTTTTTATTCAGCATTACACATATCAGGTGTCCAATGCAAATAAGTCTAATAAAAAAAATTACCAAATGTTCAATAGATTAATATCCTATGGTAGACCACAACTCTTATCATATTATTAAGAGTAGAAAGCTATACATTCTAGAACAAACTATTGTGTGAATTAAGATTGTCTAGTATCACCTATATTATAGGCTCAAAAGTCAAAAATCAAAATATCCAAAAGGATTATCCAAAATCGAAATACTTGAATTGTAAATTCTTCAGTTAAAAAAAAAAATTGACGAAATTTTCATATTCAATCTGAATGGCCAGAACTACACTTACCCTAGAGATGAAGTACTTAAAGACCAACATAGTCTTAAATTCATCTATTTATTTTAATTCTTTGAAATGTTAAAATTATAAAAGTTACGATCAGGTGTCCTTTAATAACCATGTAGAGATCGGTACATTTTTGCATAATATCAAATCTTGTTCATGCAATTGAAGAAGATGTGAATGAGAAGAGAGGGATGTTTACTTGCTACATCAAGCGGCTGCTAAGTAATAGAGAAAGTTTCAAATATATTTACGTAATTTTTGTTAGTTTAAAATTAACACATCGTTATCAAGTAATTAATCAATTAAACCCAAAGAGTGCAACAAATGAATTAGGAGACAATTCAAAGGTCAGGCGCGCTTAGGATAAATGAGATAATTAAGAGTAATTTTCCTAAATAGTCAATTTATATTTGGGAAAGTACCTATTTATATCATTTATGTTTGTTTCAGGACTATAATATCACTAAATTTTACTTATTTTCCACAAAATATACTTGATAAAAAAAATATTATCTCTCTTATTAGGATGTCATGTCACATATTTTAATTTATTAATAATATTTTTTTTTAGATTCTTTAAGTGTTTGTGCCGCTGTTTTTCAATATTATTTATACGATGTTTTTTGTTTATTTGTCTTACTTCTCTGATTTGAAAAAATTATTTGGTTTGTTCTATTTTAACTTAATTAGTGGATAATTTTTTCTAAAATTATAGAATTTGTTTTGGTTATATCTTTTAGTTTTAAATTCATATTCTTTAGCAATATCTTTATTATTTTAGATGTCGGTAATATCTTGTAGCTACTTTGAGTATGAAATCAACCATCGATGAAGAAACTTTAATTATGGACATCTTAATGGATCTCTTTACATCAAAATTATGCAAACAAAAAGTAATTAACGACTTAAAATATCTATAATCATATTAAAATTTAATTAACTTTCTAAATTCTATCAATATCACATAAATTAAAATAATAGATATTGGGCTCGTAATAGCATAGACACTTGTGTTTAGTTTTAAGCTTACATGTAAATTTTAAATTTTACTTCTTTAAAAGTTCTAAATCAATATTATATATATATATATATATATATATATATATATATATATATATATATATATATATAAGAATTTTAAAATTATAAATCTAACTAAATTTTATGTAACCGAAGGTTAGCTCCGCTCTCAATTTCTTGTGAGAATCGACATGATTTTATCATTACGATTAACAAGGAGATTTTTGTGCGAAGAAAATCACGCACATAATAATTATCACAAGTGTAATAACTAATTACTTTCATAACTTATTATTTTTCAAGTTAATAATAAAAAACACTTAATTAAATATTACTATCCATGAATTTCGTATTTCATTATCTATTATTTTCTTTATCTATTTAAATTGTTTTTTTCTTTATATTAAAATTAACCTCGATTTATAATGGTGGTTAAATGTTTGAAATAAATTAGTATTTACATACATTTAAGAATTAAAGAAAATATCATTAGTAAATTTTAAAAATGTGACATGGCATTTCATTAAGAGAGAGATAATGTTTTTTTTTGTCAAGTATATTTTGAGGAAAATAGGTAAAGTTGAATGATATTGTAGTCCTAAAACAAACATAAGTGATATTATTAGGTAATTTGTCAAACATGGTTGACTATCTAAGAAAATTACTCGATAATTAATACAATGCTTAAGAAGGCTTAAATAAGAAGACTTATTAGTGTCTATTTTGACATTTTAAAGTATGAATATGAGAGCAAACAATCAAAATAGAACCTCTTTTTTCTTCTTTAACTCTACCTAATGACGAGGTACGATGATCATAACTTAAATACTTTTTAAACTTATCGATACGTAGATATTCGTTGATTTTAGAAGAAGAAAGAAGTTTATTTGAATGACACAAAATTCCATAATTAATGGGTCTATACCTCTGTCCCATAGTGACTTCACATTTTATGCATAACTTGTTCTTGCTTGAATAAACCTAATATTTGATAGTATACATGGATAAAATCAAGTGTGTTGAAAATAAAACCAATTACCACAATATATATAACTTAGCTAGGTAGTTTAATATTCAGCTACAATAATATATATATATATATATATATATATATATATAATATTTTTGAAAAAAATTATGTCACAGTAAGCAAGGGTACACCTACCACATTGTTAGTTACATGAGACTTTAACCTTCCGTGATCACCCCAAGGAGTTCAATTTGTAATTTAGGATGTGGAGTAGCTAGGATCTGGTTATTTATATTCTAAGAATGTTCTCTTGTCCCCAGGTGTTCATCATGGTCGCGATAAAGGTTTGTTGGAGTCTGGTCGAGAAGTTCAGATGTTCATCCTGTGTAACGAGGGACAAATTCATATGTTCATCCTATAAACCGAGGGACAAGTAGTGACAGAGGAAAGTTTCGTCATGGATATAGGTTTTCTAATCCTAAGGGATCGAGGGAAACTTTACCCTCTAAAACATAAACCTTTGACATTGAATATGTTAGGTATTTTTAAACCTTATACTTGTGACTTTACTAACTGAATCCTAATTAAACTCACTGAAATATAATATTTTAAACCCCTTTTACCTTTATATGTGTGTGCAGTATAATAGTTATGTATGGAATTTCACGTCATTTTTAATTGCACATAAGAAATTAAATGTAAAAAAAACGACCTAAGTCATCGATAGCCCCTTAATGTTGTCCGCATAATTCATTTAGACACCTTAACTGAGACTCTTACCTATTAGACACTTTAATATTAATAAATATTTATCTATTGAACATAAAATAACAACTATCTTTACAAATATTGTGCGTGTAATGCACACTCTTTATCTTGACAAAAAGTATGAATAGAACTACGACAC